ATATTTTACTATTTAAATATTACTAAAAACAATATGAAATTCTATTCCACACAATTCAATATACTATTTAAATATTACTAAACTATTAAAGACAATATGAAATTCTATTCCACACAACTCAATAATATTATAAGGGAAGATGCATATTATGGGTTAAATGTTGGTCAATTATCAAACAATGTGGAAATTATGAATTGTTTAAAAAGTTATAAAAAGATAATAGACAAATTTATAAGTACATGTAAGTAATATGTACTCAAAATCATATGATCATATATATTTATAATATTTTATAGGTTATAAATAATAAATTTTATACATTAGATAGTCAAGACTTATAAAAAAATTTAAAAACGATAATTATAGTAAATAAATAAATTTTATAACATTATAGGTTTTAGTAACTTTAATCCTTATGCAACACAAATTTTTCATGATTAAATATTTTATTTTTACTTTTATTTTTTATTCATATTTGTTCTTTTAATTTATTTTTTCAACCTATATGAGTTAATTAGCATCCATTTGAATATATATATATATATATATATATTATATTTCCATGGGTACCAAGTGCTATAGTATAAATTATGATATTCTCGCTATTTTATTTACTTACTTTTATTTATAAAACTTATATAATAAATGTTATTTTCTTAAACAAATATCTAATAGTTTTTTAATGTACATAGATGAAATTTATAGTTCTTATTTGTACTCGACCATCAAATATTTATTTTATTATTATAATATTTTAATTTTCAATAGTATTATCATTATAAATGAGATAGTCGATGGAGGTTTATATTTGTATGGTTAAGTCGACTCATTTAGAACAAAATTTTTTAACATTTTAAAGTATTCAATAAAGTATGATTGAAACATATTATTCTGATTAGTTTATTATATATTTTAACTACTTATAACGGTAAATATAACTAACTAAATTAATATCTACAACTATATATCATAATATTTTTAATTTAATCAATTATTATAATATGTTTTATTTTTAATTTTGCCAATAAATTACTATGAAATGAATATTAAGATATTATGGAAAATTCATCTAATCACTCTACAGCCAGAATAATTCTATATAAATCAATGTATAGTTATTGGATATCAGTCATTGAGTACACACAAAATAATTAATTTGTTTTTTCATATATAAGATTTGCTAATAAATAAAGATTGATTAAAGGCCAAATGTAGACAAAAAAATATTTCCCGCCCAAATCCATGCAAATTATGGCAATATGGATTGGTACATTAAATAGACGAGTGTTGATACCTATGTGATGCACGGGATATACTATAAATTAATTTTATTGTTCAAACATTTTTAAGTTATTTAAGATAATATGATAATTTTATCTTACACAATATCAAGTCAGTAATAATATAATGTTTACTATTTTTATTTTATTTGAATTTATTTTGTAGGTATTGACTGTTAATATATAATAATCTACTATTTATAAGTTTATAAAATATTATAAGTATCTAAGATTTAAAATATGATCTTCGTATACAAATGATTTGCATGTACTTATAAAATTATCCATTATCTTGATCTAAATTTTTTTTAACAATTCATATTTTTTATATTGCTCGACAACTAACTAACCTTGAACCCATAAAATATATTTTCTTTTATTATAATTATAGATGTATGAATATTTGTTTTTAA